ATACTGAAGGGAAATTTTTACTGCGTACTACCCTGTCTTTCAGAAGCATTAACTGAAAAGGGTAATCACATTTTACTTGAATTCTTGTGTGTTTTCAGACTCCTCTATTTTACTGTTGTCGCAACTAAAAGGCGGCGTTTGATAGTGTGATTCTACATTAAGTAAATTCTACTCTTACTACCACACTTTTGAGATTTTAGGGGTGTCCGGTTCCTTGTTAGGCACACAGGTGCTAGCTAGAAAGGATGGGCTGGGGGAAGACAACTGAAATGTAGCATTTGTCAGAGTTCAGATTTTTTGGGGCCTCCTGGCTTTTGCAGTATTGGTTTTCCTGTCTACCTTTTTTAAATCTTACTAGCCGACTTCCACTCTCCAGCACGGCAGTACAGCTAAAATGCCAGGTTTTTTTTTTAACACAAGTCTTTCTCCATTACACAGCCAAGTTTTAGAAATTGTATCGTGCCTCCAGTGTTTGTCGAGACACGTAAATAAAGATCCCACACTGGGCCAATGCGTAAATACTACAGCTACCAGCCTCTGCTCCAGTCAACAAGCAGTCTTGGCTCATCAGCTCCCATCAGGCAGGCTGTGCTGTGAACCTGAGCGTCTTCCTTTAGTTTGCATTTGAACTTGTAAAACAGTTGTCATGTGGAGCATCTGGACCACCACCCGCTTCCTTTCAGTTTTAAGTGACCTGCAGGCACTTAGTGGACAGAAGCTATATTCAGACCTAAGACTGTTCTCACAAACCCCAGAGGTTGGGGCTGTACGCCCAGTTCCCACCAGGAAGGAGGGTAGGGGGCCCACTGCCAGGCAGTCTCCAAGTTTTCAAGCAAGTAAGTGTTCATGATCGAATTGCAGGATGACAGTCTAAAACAAGAGATGTCTAAGGCAATTCAGGTTCGGTTAAAAAAACATAAATCTCAACACAATTTAGACATGTATATATTTTAAGACTTTTTTTTTTTTTTTTTTTTAAATTTGAAGGGGGGAAGGCAGAGCATATGTGCAGAATACTCGAATTAAACTGCAGTATAGATACAATTGAACCAACTGTTTATTTACAATGATTCCTGAAAGTCAGCAGCCTGAATACACACCAATATAGCAGCAAATACCTGGTCTATTTAATGATGCCGTATCTCCTCTCTTCTGCAGACAAGGAATGATTGTTCAGAGGTCACTGTTTAGTTTCTTGCACGAGGGAAAATAGTACGTGCAAACAATTCCTTGCTTTAAAGAGATTAAATCCTATCTACGGTAACAGCTGTGAGAACAGCATGAAGTTGTATTGCTCTTCATAATCAGAAGCACATTTATCTTGCTTGTAAGGAGGATAGAAAGCTTCTCTGATGTAAATGTGCCTTTAGAAAGTGAGAACTGAAAACATTAATATAAAAAAGTCAAATAACTAAGTATTTCATGAAACTATATATATAAAAATTGAGTTATCACAACTAAAGCAGCAAATCAAAATCTGCTGAGGTTTTCTGGTATAACTAAAAAAAAAAAGTTAGTTTGTGTCCAAGTTCAGTAAGTCAAATGCTACCATTGACACAACAAAACTAAACCCACAAGAGGAAATTGAAAAGTGCACAATGAAATTAATAGTCTTGGATCAAGTATTTATGGAAAAATGGAAATGTTTTGTCCGGTGAACTTGATAAGTGAGACTTAAAAGGAGGTATTAAAGTTTGTCTGATCCAGATTTGGCTTGCCGTTCCACGTAGAAGAGGATGTAGGCCTTGGCCTTTACCACAGTCTCCTCGTCGGTCAAAGTTACAGTACTGTCGTTGAAATGGAACCAGCGGCCTTCGTGAGCTGCGTACGCGGTGTAATGTCCAGAGCCAACGCTGTCAGCAGGGGAGGCGGGGAAAGAAAGGACAATCAGAAGGAGACAGACCACCTCATTCTCTGATGCATTTTCTATTAGGGCTAAGAGACTTCCAGGAACCAGAGGAAGAAAGGATCTGACAGCCCTCCACAACAGCTGGTAAGATGCTTCCCTTCTTAATCTGTGGGGCTCAAAGTTTGATGTTAGGTCAAATAATCACTTACTGGGATGAGCTGAAAGGCTTTTTTTATATGAACTTATTAGCATCCCGTAGTTTTTGTGCAAGCAAGGCTTCTTGCAACACTCAACTTCCATGTTTGCCTACATAAAAATGAAGTCTATTATCTGTTATTATTCAACCATTAGCCATACATATTTCACTATGCTCTATTTTCAGAAATCTTCCCCATTTAGGTCTAGAGAGACTCACCTAGTCTCAATATAATCAAAAGCACTCACAGCAAAACTCATCGCAGAAGAAAATTTTTCCAGTTCCTCTTAAACAGATCCACGTCTTGGAGCCGTATGTCTTGAATCTAACATACCAGAACTACTAACCCATCAATTTTCATTACCCTGCCACCCCAAGATAAGGCCTGCTTCTGCTCGCTTACGTGTTATAACACACGCTCAATGTTTCCAACCATCTAATTCCATTCTAATCGTGACCAGCTTTCCTTTGCTGTCCGTACAGTTTTCCTACGACTGAAGCGCCAGTCGGATGCACTGTGGTGCTACATGGGCTGCCTTGAGTTGTCAGATCTTTCTAAGAGTCCAGACTATTCCTCTAGAGAAAGCAAAAGGAGAGGCTTTCTCGACAGAACTTTTTGTTTCACGTCTTTGAATTAAATTCAGGTATCACCAAGGTTTTGATTAATGGGGTTTAGTTTCTTTAAGAAAACTCCTTTCACTGCTCACACCCAGAGACTGATTGCCTAAACAACAAGAACACGTCTCTCTCAGGAGAAACAGTTGTCTTGTCCCTGCTGCTGTTAACTCTCAACAGGTCCAGCCAGGGCTGGGAAAAGGAAAAAAAACCAAACCAAACCAAACACACCCAGCAACTTTACTTGACAACACGAACACTAGCCAGCCTTGTGGCATGCCTGTTAGCATTCACTTTGAAGTTCACTCCTGTAGGAGAGAAGGTAAATACATGATAATTGCTTTCGCTGTGCCAATCCAAAGTCTATGGTTGTTCCAAACATGCACACGCACTCTTTTGGCATAAATACACATTCGCCTTTCAAAGTGAATTAGAAGAGGAAAAAATATTTCTGCTTTGTACTAAGAATGTCAAACTGAGGCCTTAACCTTCTGGAAGGCCCCTTGATTCACTCTGTTGGTTTAGGGCTTTCCATTCCTAGAGGCACTACACTATTCTGATTCTGTCTCACACTTGTAGTCTTCCACAGGAAGACTCTATAGATCTATCTGAAGTTAGTTCAGCTTAGTTCCATGTAAGTTTGTAAGTTACTGCTTATTTCCACCAGCAAAAATACCGACAGTCACACCTTCATTAACTCTGCATGTACTTCAGGGGGGAGGAGGTCTCTGCCAAGAAACAGGCTTCCTCCATGTACTCACCCTGAACCATGATGCACGACAACAGCCGCAAGGTCATACAGGCAGCTTTCTGGGCCACTGTTTTCAGGCTGCGGGTAAGAAGACAGAAAACTCTTCAGATCGCAGTAGCACCTGCTATGATTTGTAATAAAGACAGACCTCTGTTGTGGAACACATTTCCACAGAAAGTATTGGCGAGTCTTCATACCTCTAACAAGTAGCATTTCATGTCTAGGCCTCGTAAGGGAAACTCAACATACGTATCAACCTTGTTTCTCAGATATGCTGTCCAGTGAAATCGTTTCAAGTGTAAGCATAGCACCTACAGGATTAAAAAAAAATAAAAAAAGATGGATGCCTTAGAGGAAGAGGTTGAACTTTGTGCTAGACATCTGCAATAGCCTATGGGAGGGTTAGGTTTCGGTCTGCTAGCGGTGGGGTCGTCATTTCCTTTGACATATTGTCACACCGTTACTTTTCATGCTTATACGAACCTTTGGTAGTTTCTGAATCCAGAATTTTTTGGTGGACTTCTGTTTCTTTTTGCATTTGTGACACATATACAGCTCTGTCTCATCAAGTTCTTCCAGGTCTGTAAAACTGCGAAGACAATCTAAAAAAGAACAAGATGCAAAAAACGAAACACCCACACAAAGGAACTCAATTCAAGATGACATCAAGTGATTTTTTTGTAACAGGAAATACAACAAATACAGCAATATAGAGGAGGTGTGCATATCTGCTGCAGTCACTCCAGTTATTATATACATTTGTACAGCACAAAGCTGTGTAGCAATGTGTTTTAATACAGTAACATGTTGTAACATGCAGCGTTCCCTGCTCCTGAAAACACAGCTGTAAGCAGTTCAAGAGGAAGAGAGGCATTCACGAAATCTCCGTTTTTCAAACAAGATTCTGTCCAACATTCAGCACAACTGTTGTCAAAAGAAACTAAAAGACTTTCTAACAAAGAAGATTAAACTTTTAAAGGTGATTTGGTTTTAGGTACAAAATGAACAGAGAAAATAATGGGGTTTTGATTAACATTTCACAATCTGCAGCAAGTGTATGCACAAATCTGTAAAAATGAGCATCCTTTAAAACAAGGTCAATAACAGCACTACTGCCTAACTTGGCAGGATTGTGTTTATGTTGTTTAAGAAGCAGAACACCCAAGAGCCATCCTTCCTATGCGCAAGGGGCACATACTTGTAAGCACAGAGCCTTAGCAAATGCTAATAGGCAACAATGCAGGTGAGCGTTGGTTGGACAGACTGTAATACATTAGAAATACTCTGACCACAAAGAAAAACTTCTGCTGGAATCCTCGCTGATATTTAGCTGCCCTCCTGAAGCACTTCTCAGCCCCAGTTTATCATAGTAGCATGTCAATACACAGTGACTGGGGTAAAACCTGCATAGAAAATTATTTTGGCACCTTCCTCTATCACAGCATCTCTCAAAATTAGATGGCATGTGGCACCAAGTCACACCCTAGGTGAAAGCCTGGCTCCTCTGAAATAGCTGCTCTGGAGAGTATATGCTCCTAGTCCTGGTAACGATATCGTTAGCCAAGCACTCTTACCTCGTAGTGTGCACATTGGTCCATTTTCTTGATTTTTAGTACGTTTATTTCTGAACTGACTTGGAATATCTAGCGAAAGGTCTAGAAAAACAAAGATTAAAAAAAATTAGGGTTGAATAAAACAGTGCCTAATCTTTTCAGGCTAAAACTCTGGTTCAGTCATGTGACATCTAAAATATATTGAGAGCTTCAGATTTATTTTTCTGCCTTAAGTGACCCAGTATTTTGCAAACAAGAGGCACCTTACCTAGGAATGGGTCAAACTTTCTAGATTCAGTCCCACATATTAGGCAGTTGACTTCATTTTGAAGAATGCCTCCAAAAATCGCTGTGACAACAGTAGATGCTCCATTTCTAGACAAACCACATCAGAGAAGTGAAGTCAGTCAGAATGGCTGAGCTTAATTTTCAATACCTGTTACATGTTTACAACTCACCACTACTGGGCAGAGTGTGTAACAAACAGTAACTGAGTTCATCCACCGGGCATTTCATTCACCCCGGAACTGTACAGTGCAAGTATTTAGCTGAGAGAATACTTCTGCTTTATCTTGTACCTGAAGTAAGTGTGAACTACGTATGCTCTAAGCAGGTGCTCAAAATTTCAGTGTTGAAAGTATTGCGGTCTATTGCATTTCGATAGGGGAGAGCTGATGCTCACAGGGGTATAATATTTTAACGCTGGAATTAAGGCTGTTTCCGAAACAAAAATTCTTCCCTCTTAGGTAGGTCAAGCATATTTTTGTTTTAATTCTATGCCCTTTGTTGCAAGTAATTTTAACTTCTTCAAGCATATTTCTCCACTTTGCTTCCAAAGGCAGTTTAAGTTGCATTAAGATATGATAAACAATATGCCTCATCACCATCATTGTTCTCTATGCTTTCATTACTCTCAATCTTTTCAGCAGATTATGTAATGGACTGACTTACTTCTCATAGTCCAATAAAAAAAAAATTAAGTTATATTATTATACAACTTTTAAACTTGCTAGCTTGTGCTTGCAGATCTGACACCACAAGCCTGCAGCAACCTGTGCTCCTTATCTGCACTCCACCACCGTCTTCACAGTTACTTTGAATGCTTCTTGTTGAGCGGCAGGAACTGGCTACCCAAACAAACCGGCACTCAAGAAGAGAGCATTCACAGCATATTTATTACTTTACTGTAAGCGTTTAAGTGTATGTGACCTTAATTAATTTGCCCTTGACAGAAGGCAGCTTACTCCACCTCACCACTTGAACAGCCATTCTCAAGACAAATCAACAGTGCATACGTGAATGAAGTTTAAATTCTCCTTGGGTTTTGACACTCAAAATGTTGACAAAACAAAATGGGTTTAGTTTGCAAATATGCTTCAATTCTAAGAATAATTCTTTGGTAGGATTTTTAAGCATCAGCAAAGCAACATAAACGTGGTAAAGAAAAGCACACTCCGAACTCTAGGCTTTCCCTAATGAAGCATCTATAAAATCCTGCACCTCTCAGGCCTGCTTACTATGTCCTAATCGGTATAGGAAGGGAAAACTCACTCAACTCTTACGTAGGGAATCCAAGGACTTAGGGACCAAATGTGCAGGCTGAACTGACTTAATGTTCCTTCCTGAAGCAAATTAAAATGTTTTCTCTCTGTGACAGTTTCGATCTGAGAGAAAACACACCTGGGACAGAATTCAGAAACAACAGTATTTTGAGAAGTACAGAAAGAGGAGGGAAACACATGGATTACCTCTGTTTCAAGACACACAGTAACACGAAAATCAAAATCACCAGGAAAAAATGCAACAGCTTCAACTGTGTCAAGTGATACGCAAATAGAGCAAGATCAGCTGCAGGAAAACTGACTTCAAGCTGTAACTGCATTGCTCACTCGTTAATCCAGCAGGTCTGCTGACAATTTAAACCTACAAATACTTGGCCATCTTTTTTTGCTCCTGTATCGTTCAGGCCATCTGTCACCCTAAGACAATGAGATTGTCTGAACAAAGAATTCTATATAGGTACAGAATGGAAAATACAAAGTTCTTTCTTTTTATTTCTGAAATACCAATGAATTAAAATGTATTTACAACTGAGGCTGTATGCTCACTCACACCTATGAAAAACGCTGATCCTTTTGAAAGGAAGCACATCCTATAGGATGCTAATGCTTTACAACCTGCAGCTTTGTAATTTGTAACATAACAGAGGCACTAAAGAGAACAAACAAGGAACCGTGAATTTGACATTTCAGACCCACCACACACAGACCCATACAAAGGCATTAAGGTTTTGAAGAAATTAAAAAACACTTCTTACATGCAACATTTGTTGCTTGCAGACAGACTAGAATTTTCTTGCAAAATTACTGAACGTGAAACACCATTGAAGCCACCCTGGAGTTCCAGGTGTAGATGGTCCAAAAGGTAACGCATGAACTCGTGGGCATCCTGTTGCTGGTATCCCCTTAAGAGAGAAGGAAACAACAGCAACAAAATCATCAAATATACGGGTTGCTTTAGTGCCAACACACAGAGAGCACCAGGGTCACAGGAAAGAACCTTTGCTTGTTTAATAATATTGAGCAGATTTTACAGAGAGACACATACATATTTTGTACCAAAAATGTTTTCTGAGTGGCCTTTGGAAACTTACAGCTATGTCTAGACAAAGTAAGTGATTCTGGTCCTTTGCAGCTCGCTCGCTCCCCACATCTCTTTTTGAGGATGGGGAAACATTTAAGAAGACACATTTTAGATAGGAAGCGACCTTTTAGAAAACAACAGAGAGCAGCAGACACATACCATTTGCTCACTTATTTGGTTAACTTTAATCGGCCTCACCAAACTCAGTCCGTGCTAGTAACATCCTAGAACTCACATACCTGTTAATTACGAACACACAATGGCAGCAAACACACAATTTCCCCCCACTCACGCAAAGCATTTCTCTTTTTTCTTTGTTTTTGACTAGATTTGATGAGTACCTCCACAGAATTGTTATGAACCAGGTTCAGGCAGCACACTATTCATCCCTACTTTGAAATTACTATAAATTATGGTCCATATATTGACTTCTCAAACCTGGCAGGATTCAAAAGACAGGCACCACAAAACGTGCTGGTCACGTGGGATTCAGAGCCAGTATTTCTGAGTGGTTTTCATTCAGCCACCGATCCCACCCACTTTGGCAGTTCCAGGTGTTTGCTTGCCTGCTTGTTCCCCTCCCCACCAAAGCCAGGAATTGAATCTTTGGGTTTGTTCTCCACATGCCTCTCTTTCAGCAACAATATGAAGTCTGAAATAATTAGGATGAAAGAGAGATTCCTTTCCTCTCCTAGGGCGAGATCTATAGCCGTGCTCCGAATCGCACGCGTCCCCTGCATAACCCACACACCATTTGCTGGGAGAGGGAGGTCACGGTGGGGTATCCGGAGCATCTCTTGAGCATTTGGATTTGGCAGGATAGGGCTCCAGTTTCAGCTGTGTCATGCCATCAGCAGCACTGCTGCTCAAAGAGTCACCGTTATTATTTCACCACTAACAAACCTCATCGAAGGGAACGGAGAAGCCATCAGGGTAAAATATGCCTTCACAGTTATTTAAGCTAAATCACGCATCACATTTAACAACCAACTGCTATTCATTTGCCATAAGATGTATACCGAAAGGAAAAGCATACATAGCGAAACAGTGAAAGCTTTGTGCAACACGGACGTAATTATGTGCCAGTCTTCGTAGGCCTAGTTACAAAAATCCCTATATAGTAGAGTTGGCTTTCCCTCTTCCTCTTGTCCATTCTTTTAGGCTACTCGATCATGCCTCCTCTGCCCCTTTCCTCCTCACTATGCCGCCACATGTCTGGGAAGGAACAACAGAGATGTTTTTTATGCTACTGCGCAGGGGAAGGAAAATGTCCATAAGACTCATGGCACAGTACCCAGAGTTGGAGAGAGACAAGAAGTATGCAAGGTGAGGCTGAAGGGCTTAGTGAAGAACGTAGGTATGTCCTACAAAAGTATTGCTAGGAGGTGACAAAATCAAAAAGGAAATAAAGCCTTTTCATCTTGTAGAATTACAGTACTCTTTTCTTCCAAACTAGCAGCTTTAAACGAAATCACTGAGTTTGTGTGTAAATCTTACAGCACCCTGATAAACAGCAGCAGCACTACCTACCTTTTACAACCGAAAAACTGAAGCACTGCTGTGCTTCCACAGGCCAAATCCTGTGCGGTCCAAAATAAGACTTATTCTCCCAAAGTTGCAAAATAATTCTACGTTACTATGAAACAAGGCAGAAAACCAGAACTTAGCATCAACGCTCCCTGTTAACTGTGCACGCTGTAGGATAATTTTGAAGTTGCTGACGTAACACAGGATTTGCTTAGTTTACTCTATACAGATATCTTCAGTTTAATAAAGATATAGGCAGTCATAATAAACAGTTGAAGATGAAATTTATGGAAAGTCTTTGCTTCATACCCCTTTTCAACATTAAAATCCTCATATGAGAGCTCTGAAGTATATGGCAGCCTTGCTCTGCAACGAATTTGATGAAATAACCTTTGGAATCATTCCACATGGTTCGTTGTGCTCCTGCTGCATGTGTTTATACTTGCATACAAATATGTTAATTATAGATGAAAGGTTCTTTGGATTTGTTAAAAAGCTTAAGTATAGATACAGATCTTTAAAAGAACACGATGCTATGGATGAGGCACTGGTTTAAAACAGAGTTTAAAATAAACTATGATCTAAAAGCCCGTCAGCAAAATGCATAGTTTCTCTGATAGTCAGCTTGTGTAGTAAAACTGATCTCCATCCACCTGAAGCAGTTCAGTTCAAGCCCACCTCTGACATTCCTTTTCCTACTGACAACAAGATAGGATATAAACAGGAACAGCTGCTAGGAAAACAGAGCATACTATTTATACAGCAGAAAATCAGCAAAATACGCATCTTGCAACTCGGCATGAGGCTACACAACTGTCTCGGCATGCAGCAGAACGACAGCAGCAGACTTTGTCCGACAGTCAAGCAGCAGGACTCCCACAGCAGCGTTAGAGCTCAGAGGCACTCCAGTTGTGCTCATAGTAACTATAAACGAGATCCTCTGCTCCCTGTATGCAATACGAGACAGAGGGCCACGGAGTGCAGCAGCAGCAGTTTCTCCTGTAACGTTCTGTAAGGAGAACAGCATTTGCAGCCCTTGGAGGCAGGCATGATGTGCCTTTAACAACTGAAATCTCTTTGGGCTAAAAGAATTAAACCACGTTTCCAACCATGTTGCTTCCCCCTGCACCCATCGCTTCAGGCTGCATAAGCACAAGCCAAAGTGGCTGGTTTGCTGTTAACACGCTGCTGGCTCCGGCTTTCTTTCGCATGTACGTCCATCCACCTCCTCCTCCTCCCAATCTCACAAGAAGCGGACAAGGCAGAACTAGAATTGTAGCATCATTAGCTTTTACAGGGTACAATTAAGCACTGAACAAATTCAAATTTTCTCTCCGGATCATGTGGGAGTGGGGGGGCCTACTGAGCAGCCGACTCTATTCTCCATGTGATTTAATGAGTTCTCTTATCAATTAATCACGGACATGTTCCCCACTAACTGGGAATAAAAAGGGGAGGGGGAGAACCCCAACAAACAGCACTTTCTCTTTTAAAAGCTGTGATAGAACGCACAGTGCTGAAAATTTGCTTGAGGAACTTTAATGAACTGGTTTCTCGATTAGTCTAACAAGAATTACAGTGGAGGCTGTAACAGGGCAACTGGTCAAGGACATTACGCACCATGTTCATTTGCCTATCATGTTTTGGTCGCTGCTTGCAACTACTGGTATTAAACTTCCTTGATTCTCATAAGCCAACTGAAACATATTTGGCAGTGTGAAGAACAGAATAAATACATTTGTGTTATTTGGGTTACTCGTTGAGCAGATGTGTTCACAGCATCTTTTCAGCACTGCTGGAGATGTTACAGATAACTACTACCTGAGAACATGGAGCAACTTACCTTCATCACAATATATCCTAACACGTTTCAGTGCTCCTTTGAAAGAGGTTCAGGGGCCAGGACAGGGAGACCTTGGAGAGGAACGATACTTCGATTTACTTGCGTAACCTTCTTTTTCCCCTTTCTTTTTATTGTCTTTTTTGTCAGTATGGGCACAAAACGCCTATTATGCGTAAGACTTTTTCTTATAGCCCTTATTTCATGTCCAGCTGGCGACTACAGCATTTTGAGAGAATCAAGGAAGTTTCAGCCAGTATGTTTGCATTTAGGCCTGTAGGTGCTGTACCTTTTTTACTCTGCCTACATCACTTTCTTATTGCAGCCAAGCTTGGGTTCTGTCAACACCATGCACTTGGCACTTACCTACCGATCATTATCTTGATTCTTCTGCCCTTTGGGGCACTGGCTCAAAGGCATACATACTACTATTTTAGTATGCGAGATGTTTGTCCTCTCCGATACTGCTACATGTGGCACGCGGTAGAAGGGCAAGGGGGAAAAAAGCACTACCGATGACCACAAAACTGTCTATCAAAGCAAAGATCCTTTTCAAAGCGTATTTGTGAGCGTATAGCTGCACAGAGTGCATCCCACGGATTCAGCAAATTTTAGAGTAGGACACCAGCAATACAAGGTTGCAATCAAGAATATTGTTCTTATTCTACAAAACTTACCTAAAATTTGGCATGATTTTCCAAACAACGTAAAATAAAGACTCTGGACTAAAAGCAGTTTGGCTTCCTTGCCATAGAGCACAGAGCGTCTTTCTGAATTCTTCCACCAATGAACTGGAAAGAAAATAAAAGCTGGTGATTAATACCGGTTTGTGTTATAACCCTTCTATGTTTAGTAGCTCAATGGTACAAATATCAGACACTACTTTGGTTAAGATTGTAATGATTGGGTAAATATCCTTTCCAGTACTTCAAAGATTTTTATGTCCAAAATCCTACCCATAATGCTGGCGAGAGACAGAGGTTAGGAAACTTATATTTCAAATGTTGAGGACTTGCCTGGAAATCTATCCACCTTTCGCCATTTTACTGTAGGCTCTGCTAACATCGTCCCTTTAACACTTGCTCAAACAAGCTACAGGTTGTGAATCGCTTACTCGGATTTTTTTAATTTTTTTTATTTTTTTTTTAATACGTTCACTTGCAGACACAACCCCATGACCACATTTTAGCTGTAATTAAGTAACATGATGTCTGGAGTACATATAACTAGCACTTCTTAACCTTACTTTAAATGCAGTTACACTCCAGTGCCTTCTGATGTATCCGACTGCTTCCCCCTGTAGCACCAGGCTGATAGAAGCAAACTGCAAGTGATACAAGTTTCTTTATTTGCATAGCCAACTATTTTTCTATGACTCTGTCCCGCCATGAATCATTTTTCTATGATTCTGCAACACTGCAAGCATATAGTGCCTCTACCACCCAAGCATTTGCCGTTTGCTGTAAAATTCAGTGCTAACAAGGAACATGCAGCTTACACATTGTTATCCCCCTGGCTCCTGGTATGGTAAGTTCGCCTGCCTGCCGTCTTCCCGTTCCTCAGCTCCACAGCAGGCAACTCTTTGAAGTAACAGCAAAACTGTTGAATGTTACTACGGGAAAAGGAAAAATGAATTAAATCCTTAAAAGGGAGAGAACAAAGAGAATATTATGTATTCTGGAGCCTGTTCTTTGAAATGCATAAACACAACTTCATGCAGTAATAGAGGATGGCAATCACAAACGGTTCAAGATACAAGAAATACTGTAGCAAATACTCATCTTCTGCAAATGCCTGAGCAGATCTGTAAGTATCATCGTCATCCCAACTACCTGAAATAATTACGTTTTGGCTCTGCTTTGACTACGAGATACCATGACAGGCGGAGGTATCGGAAGGCATTCCCTAACAAACCAGACTGCATCTCCTGAGGACGTTAACTCCATGTCTACTGCCACCTACCAATCCTAACCTCTGCCACCACAGTCCCAGTAACAGAACATAAGAAGCATGTGCCTCAGCTCCTGCCAGTGAACCCTGAATGATGGAAAAGAAAATGGAGACTGCTTAGTCCTGCTACAGCCCAACTCAATAGTCTCCCAGTCAAGTAGGCAAATTCAGAAATGCAAAAGCAGCGGTGGTCCTGGCAGCAATGAAATGAGGTCTAACATCTCAGCACTGCAGAAACTGTTCTCCTACCCGCTTCTATGAGACCCCATCCCTCAAAGCGCCGTCTCTGCTTTCACAGCAACCTAAGCATCAACGTGTTTCTACATCCTCAGCAATGAAAGGGCAGTCTCCTTTTCTGCTGAGGACATGGCAGGCTTCCTCTGGAGCGCTGCATCACAGGAAGTCCCTCACACTGCACAACACAACTTTATGGTACCTGCACACACCTCTTCCTGCAAATCCAGGCATGCTTTTGTACTGTGGTAACTTACCAAATTCCCTTGCCTAATGCTACAGCTCACAACCACTCTCACATGGGGAAGAGCTTTGGAGGTACCTGAGCGACTGAAGGATTGCATTCATGAAACACGTATTCCCCAGGTTCCGAAGGCCTGTGGCACAAAGGGCAGTGGTGCTTCCCTGGAAATGAGAACGGTTCAGTTAAAGACTTATCATTGCTCCCCCACCTTCTCCCCACAGAGCTGTTACTGTAGTATCAGCATAGATTTAAACAACAATAAACTACACTGTTTGAAAAGTGCAGTCTCCAAGCCAAAGCAACCACCTCACCAGCTCAAACTGCCTTGAAGCTCCATCCTGACATGAAACCTGTTTCTTACTCATTCCTGCCAACAGAAAACTATACTACATCTTTTCCTTTGCAAATAAATCTAGAATAGGACAACACAGAGTTAATCACAGGCTTCTATTGCAAAGTTGTTGTGTGTATATATGTTAAATATTCACACTCCGGTAATGTTCAGTGAGAACTGGACAGCAATTTCCCTAAAGTGCCTTTGAAAAATGAAAATGCCGATCATTTTCCATCTAGTCCCATATCTAATATGCACAAAGTGGCAGCCTGCAGGTTGTTTTTAAGTCACCAGCACTAGCCTGCTGTCTTGGTGGGGTTTTCTGGTGGCCAGGCGGGCTTTTGAAAGACAGACAACAGCATTTATTTGGGAAAGAAACAGTCAAGTTAGGCCGTGCGAAGAAAAAGCAATATGTTAAATGAGAGAAGCAAAATATACACCATTTACAGTCTAGGAGTTTCAACAGGTTAGAGCAACGTTACCCACAGATGAGCTTGCTTTTTGCCAAATAATCTTCAGCCTGGGCTGGGAGGAGAGGGAAGAGAAATGTGGACAGTGTTGCATTTATGATTTCTAGAATCCGCAACACTTGGACACATTCCATTGTCTACAAAATATCACATTGAAGGTTCATCAAATTTTTGGGCATTCTTCATTGTTATAACAGAATTTAAAAGCTAGACTATCTTTTAGTAGTAGTATCTCAAAATGAACATATTACTTGACACCAAAGACTACATGCAAATCCAGGTTACTAAATACTATTCAAAGTGTTCCAATAAAATTTTTTTTCCTCCCCAAATCTACCACAAACAATCTCTGGTGAACTAATGACAGCAGGATATTTGTGTATATGTTGTTAAAAAAAAAAAAATTATTTACATAAGTAATTTACCAATTCGGTAAGAATTGTTTAGAGAGAGACCTGTTTTCCAATAAAGGAAGAAAACTTTCAAGTACCAATGCCGCAGTGTCCTTAGCATGTTCTTTTCTCACTCTCGCCCAGGGTGAGACAGCAGGGTATTAATGCAAACAGCAGTGCCCAGTCTTTTCTAGATAAGGATCCAATGTGCCAACAACAACAAGATCATCTGTTGCCACGGGCAATATTCAAGTATTAATAAAACTGAGAAAACGGCACAGACTAAGAAGAATAAAAGCAGCATTAAGTTCATGCTTTCTAATTCTGTCTTCTCCGTATCTAAATGTTGCCTAGAATTTTCCTTCTGGTTTTTACTGGCTTTGCGTTTTTCAGACAATGATGCTGTTATGTGTTGCCATAGCAAAAACACCCCACTATTTCTCCCAGGCTTCCTCAATCACCCCAAGACTGGGACAGTACAGGAAGCATACACAGCACATTCAGAGCACCCGAAATTGACGGTAGGTAGTGCATTTTTAAAGTAACTAAACCCCTACAGACTTTGCAAAACAGCAACTGACTGCTTTGCTCCCACCCCACCCTCTGATTTCCATAACTTCTCTTTGTAATCAGGTAACTCTTCCTCATAGCTGAAGACAGCTGTTTCTTCGGCTCCCTTTGACTACATTGCTGTCCTGCAGTCCCAAGGGCCAAGGAGGAGTAGCTCTGCTCTACCACTCCTTCTGGCCGAGGGTGTAAATGAAGCAGTTGCATAGAGCCTGGTCAGTATCTCCCCTCTCCCTCCCTACAATCTGGGAGAAATTATGAAGATTAGAAACTCCCTCAACCCAAACTGTGGAAAACAAGAGACATTTAGTTTGGGGCATTCTTTGTCTGGAAGAAACTCCACAGCCCTTCAGCTATCTAGCAAGGGCTGGATCGTCCTCTCCTGGGTGCTATTCTGCGGACGGGAAATTAAAATAGCAGGGAGATGAGAGTGAGAAAAGTTTTCAGAATAGTCCAAAGTTCCTTCTGAAAGCAAGTTTTACTAAGCTCTTTTAAAACTGTTACATTTTTTTACTTTTTCCTAACACTTACTCTCTTATCCCCCTAGAAAAAGACAGTGCCCCTGCTTCTCTGCCTCTGCACTGTAAAAAAATAAAAAAAAAACCAACCAAACAAAAAAACCCAACCAAACCCACAAAACCCAAACAAGAAAAACCCAAACCTTGTCTGCCTTATGTCTAGCCCTGTTTTAATCCCAACAGGTACTAGCTCCTTCCCATTTCGCTGATCCCACTAAGCTCACACTACCCTGAAGCTCCATCTTGATACAAAACCCTTCTTAAGCACAGGGAAGCTCCAAGTCTAGGTCAACAGAAATGCAGCAGAATATCAAACATTCTTTTGTGAGAACGGGCTCTTCTAGCTCTGCAGTCAGGAGATGAGAAAGATGAAGTGCACCAAGCAAAATCTGGGTAACTGATTGTAAGTATTTCAAGTCTAGGCCAACTATAAGCCTCAAAATGTTCAGAAAAACCCCTGTACCGAATCCGTTGTACTTACATTTACTTTTAATAACTTGCTGTTCAGAGATGAGCTTTCCAATAGTTTTCTTTTCCTATGTCTGTCTGACGTAAAGGCTGAACTGTTGGAAAGTAATTAAAAGAGGTTACTTACTATAAAAGCAAAATATTGTGTGCAATAGACAACAGATAATCATCCTAATGTTTAACACCATGATTACATCAGTTGTCATTAAGACAGCGAAGAGCTTCCGGACTGCAACATATGCTTTGCATAGTCTTAAAACAGACTGCATCCACATCAGAGTACAGACACACATCCTGTTTTCAACACTAATGTCCGAGTTAATTGCATTAAGTTATGCATGCTGCAGTCTGCACCCTGAAGAGTGGCCTTAGATGCTAATTTTCACCTAAAATAGTGATCTTTTTCCTTAATCAAAGGAATACTTAATACAGAATTTTCCATAAAATACTTCTGTCAGAAGAATCATCTAAGCCTTTAGAAAGAAAACTTAGAAAAAATCATGACAAAGTTACCAAAAATCAAAAATATCTCGAGCGCTAGCACTTATGCATTATAGCTGACTTCTCCTACTTAAATACAAATACATGAGGTTATTACATTTGTGTAATACTAATACAAAGTTAGAAGAACAGTTAGCTATTATTTTCCACATTACTGGAAATTACTGGCCCCTCAATTCTACCATTTTGTGACTTCTCTCTAATCTAATAGCAAAATCATAACTTGTTCCAGATTTTAGGGTTTTTTTTCTCCTTTCTTTTTTTTTTTTTTTTTTTTTTTTTTTAATTACAGAGCCCTCCAAACATTCAGAAACTGTCATTCCACCCATTCCCCGGTATCATTTACCTCCCAAAGAGCTAGATCTCACGGACATTTCCAAAATTAAAACATATTATATATTTAAACATACACAAGTATCACACACATAGAATGAGCAAAATATATAAATTATATACATATAAAACAGAAACACCACTTAAATGAAGCAATATTACAAGTCTGCCCAAAGCAGCCTGGATGTAAACAAACTACTTACTTTTCCAAGTTCTGTAGGTGCTCTCTGACCTTCTGTACCAGGCCCAGCTTGGTATCATTGACTACGAAATCATCACAGCGATAACTGCAAGAAAAACATTTATCAGAACGTGCAAAGGATTTCAATGCAGTACTCCAAAACAGTCATGCAAACCTGCATGCAGGAAGCACCGAAACGAGGGGAACAGAGGAGCACAACACCTACATACTGAGCTTAGTTCCCTCTGAAAACTACCCTAGAGCAAGAGAAGGTACAGGCACTATCTTATTACATGTTTTTTCTTCTAGCTCAGTTCTTTATTAGACATCAGAAGCCCGATGTACTGCTTGTCCCAAAGCAGAACTGCAGTTCAACAAAAATTCAAACATACGGTGTAACCAAAAGCAGCATTAGCAGACAATCCATAGAAGATTTATCAGAAAAGATCAATTGACATCAGGTAAACAGAATACAAAGTTTTTTATTGATGTATAGCATAAATCAATTTATTTTAATACTGTAAAGCTATCATTAAAACCTGAGGTGCTGAACACATAATGTAAAAGTTTCTGCTATAGAAGACAGACCAGGGAATATGAACTAAGAGATTACGTGATTTGTCCAAAGTCACACCACAAGTCTGTGGCAACTCACACCTCGTGCTTTCACCACAAATATCACTCATTCTCTCATATTGTTTTTATGTATACAGAACCTCTTACAAAACTTAGGCTAGCTTTTTCAGGGTTCATAGAATCCTAGAATACCAGGTTGGAAGGGACCTCAAGGATCATCTGGTCCAACCTTTCTAGCACAGTCTAGATGAGATGGCCCAGCGCCATGTCATGTCCAGCTGAGTCGTAAACGTGTTCAGCGTAGCGGAGTCAACCACTTCCCTGGGGAGATTATTCCAACGACTGACTGTTCTCAAAAAAAAAAACTCCCATCTCAAATCCAATCGGAATCTCCCTGGAAGTAAACCCGACACCCCACCCCCTCTCCTCACCATGGGACTCCTTGTAAGAAGGGAGTCTCCATCTTCTTTGTAGCTCCCCTTTAAGTACTGGTACATGGTGATGGGATCACCTTTAGGCCTCCTTTTCTCAAGGCTGAACAAGCCCAGCTCCCTCAGCCTACCCTCATACGGCAGGCTTCCCAGACCCTTGGTCATCTTGGTGGCCCTTCTCTGGACCCCCTCCAGCCTGTCCACATCTTTTTTGTATAACGGGGACCAGAACCGTACACAGTATTCCAGTTAAGTAACTCAGCTGAAAGAGAGAGAGAGGCTGATCCCCCCACTGTCTCCAAGCAAACGTAAAGCGAAACCAAATCAAAACAGCCTCTCTGGAGAAGCAAGGGTTACAAAAGTCTACAATCCTATAATGTGCTACAAAGATCTCACATTTCCCAAGAAGCAAAGATGTTCATTATAATTGAACATTCAAACTGTGGGCTTGTAACGCCTCGTATAGTGCACAAAGGCAAAGGTTACAGACCATTTCTAAAGGGAGGGAGGAGGGTCTTTTAGGAAATGCTGAAAAAAACCCACACCTTAATTCGCTATTTTCCTGAGTACATGTAAATCCGCAATGCACATGTCTATTTGAAGAAACGAAAGGAAAGAGTAGCAAAGAAAACTGTCATAAGGAGGACACTGTTGCAAGATGGCATCACTTCTACTGCTTTGCTGTATTTTAAATCTCTTGCATTTCTTGCCCTCACAAAAAAGGGGAACAGAGGTCCCAGAGTGATGTGGACCCTGTTATCCATGCTCTTTCTTCCATCTGTGAAGGAAAGAAGACATCTGTATACACAGGCAGGGTAGTGGAAAGGGGAAGGCAAGGAAGGACAAAAACCCTTTAGAACCAAGAATCAGAAATGCCGCAGACAGTAAGGAAGCCCAGCCCTGCAAATCCACACCTGTACGTCGGTAAACCAAGAATTCTGAGCAGCCTCCTCGAGTCTCTCTCAAAGGAGGCAGTCAGCAGAGCAGCAGCCTTACTGCTGCGCACAGGAGCTGCAGATGACATTTCACCATACTCTTGCAGGCTTAGCCAAGAGCTAGCTCAAGAACTAGATAACCCGTATTCTGGCATGAGAAACGGGAAGGTAAGAAAAGACTTAACACCACTTGCACCAGTTCTTTTGAGAGCACATCGACAAAAAGGGAGCAGAGGCTTGTCACAACTTCCCTTCCCCCACATCCCACAAAGGTAACTCAGCTCTGAGCAGTGTTTGTCAGCCCTGTGATTACTGTGAAGCATCAAACTGCAGCTTCAGATTCTGACAGGCAACTGAACGCTTCCTGTGAAGAAAACTAACTTACTTTGGATATGTTTACTATCAGAACCGTAGCTATTTTTTCTTCTCCCTTTGGCACAGGGCTGACTCAAATGTGAAATACATCCTCATCATCTCAGGTTACTCCTCTGTTGGAGCAGATCTGTGCTTCATAAGTTAATGAAGCTATCGACTTCAGGCACAACTGGAATTTACAACATTCTTTGTTGCATAAATCTATGATGTAGTTCAAAGGCAATAGTATTGCTACTGTTAATTCAAACATTGAATTCTTGAAGAGACTACAAAGTTGAGAAAGTAAAGGCCCTTGCCACCGAAAGGAGTCTGTAAGACCAGTCTGTCCAAGATCTCTGTTGATTTTTGCCTCTGAGAAATTAATACAACTCTCAAGATTTCCAAACACTGAACACAGCGGTTATGGATACTTACGTAAGATCTAGAAATTACAAGATAGCTATTGCCAATAATAGAATTATTTTTTTTTTTAAAGATTGCCACAGACCCTAGTTAGTTTGGGAGGAAGAGGGGAAGAAGTCTGTAAACATGCTTATTTTTCCAGCCATGTTTTACGTAGTCCTACTCAGCTTTATCAGCCACCTACAATTACCTAAGGAAGTGTTCCTGCATTTGCCACTCTCACAGGACACCGCACCTCAACCACAACCATCAGAGCAAACTACCCAGGCCAGCTTTAGTGAGAGGTAAATATGGTACAGGTGGATACCGTACAGTCTAACTCCTCCTCAGTACCAAGCGTGTCCACACCCCCAGGTATGCTAGCACAATTTCACTGCTACCCTAGTGGTGCAGCTACTGACATTTATAAATGAGGCATGAAGGCAGATGCAAGCTCACTGAAAGCCTCTAAGCCAACTTATTGCTGAAAGATGATTCAATACTTACTCCCACGGCCTAAAGATCACGTTAACCTTATTTTTAGTCTGATCTCATATACACCAGTTACATCTTCACATAAAATTGCAAGTTAGCACTTTCCCCCAAGACGGAGGAATAAAACCAAATACATCATTAAAAGTCAGGGTCCTTGCAACAGCAGAAAAGTAATTTTAAGATTCACTCAAAAACACGCCAAGCTGCTTCTATTTCTCTTTTTAATGGGCTGTTTTTTTAAACCACCTCCCTTGCAACACTGAGGATTCAGCACTGCTGCTAGAAATAACAGCACTACTACCAATCTGGTTTCGATAAATGAAGTAAACAGCATAGGATGTAGTTTATGTTTTAATAGCTTAAAATTTGCTAAGCCCACACACCTTAAAGGTAAAGGGCTGAGAGATTACTTCCTATGTGTGAAGCTGACATTCAAAACAGATGTTTAATTTGTGATCCTCAGGATTATCACAAATTAACAATACACATTCTTGCATACAGCAGTTCTACAATATGCTTTCAACAGCAATTGTACAGAACAAATTCTATACTTCGGGGAGGGTCCCTTATATGGATTAGCATAATGTTTTCCCCTCTATGCACTTTCTATTTTTAGCACTTCTGCAACCTCCAAGGCCTGGTCTTTTCTGGCCTCCTTTGCCACTAAAATGGCAGCAAGCCAGTGAATGTATGCACTGCTCTGGGGAACACTTACACTTAGTGCTGGCCATTTCAATAGGTTACAGAACTTCATGCTATGTTTAAAAGCCCTGACTGGGTTTGAAGAATTACAGGACAAGCAAAATTAAGAAAATCCAAGTTTCCTTAGTTGTGCTAACACCTTATACGTGTAAACTAAGAACACAAGTTTTACTGTCTTGATAAAAGGCTTTTTACCTTCCTTAATTTCCACCGACTGTAGAATGCAAAATAATGGTCCTAAGCAATCTCATTTTCAGACGCTCATGCGCTAGCACAGTAAGTCTGTTTTTTAAAATAGCACCACCATTGCAAAAAGAAAGACTAACAAAGACATTTGTTAAGTCCTTTGCACTTAGTTATTTTTACATCTGCCCAGGCAGGGTGCGGGGAACATTAGCACAACCATGTCCCTTTAAGAGATAACAAGGAGGCTAATGGGTCAGAAATCTGACCTGCAAGTTGTGTCTGGGATTAAATGAACACGGGAAACATATTATGCAAATACATAAACAGGGCAGCCTTTCTTCTTCTGTGCTAACCGACTGTCTGTGCACTAGCATAGAGAAAACAAATTTGCAAGAGTTCTCTCTCAGGAAATGCAAGCTTCTTACACTTTTTACCTCTCCTGCGCAGAAAAAACAACCACTAACACAGCAGGAAAAAGCATCATATGATAGCTTGAAGAGAAAAAAGATCTGTAGTTCTTGTAAACTCTTTGTGTTTAGTGCTTCAGAACTAACTGAAAGGTTGATTACCTCCAAAAAGTGGAATTCAGGAGTCTGTTTTTCTCAGTGCTTAGGGCCTCAAACATAATTCAGGCTGAAGATTTAGTGCCACATCTACTGTCTCAAAAGTGACCGAAGAATCAAAGAAGAGACTCGTACTCTCATAATAAATAAAAGATTAAACATTCTCTCAACTTTTCCACTGTGAAGACTGAACAGACGAATAGGAGGACATAGAAGAAAGATCAAAACCCTCTGGAAAGCAAATCCCTAGTTGCCCAATACTTAATGATACCTCAAACATGCCTGTATTTTTCAAAACATTACCAAATTCATAAATAGAATAAAAACCTCATCTCAGATTAAAAAAAATAAAAATTAACCATTGTCCCACCAGAACTGAAACATTTTCATTTCAAAGCTATGTTGAGAGCTTGTGATAACCTAAAAGAAAACACACAGAGCTAGACCTTCACGCTGAAATGCAATTACAGGAGACTGCTTGATCTGGTTTTGGTTTACAGCAAGATTGCATGTGAACTAGAAACAAAATCGAATAAACCATGGTAGCTTCAACAGTCACATAGTATTTCTTCCCCTTGGACTGACAAGAACAGCTAAGGCAAACCCTGGACTGTGCTCTCATGACTGCATGAAAGTCTATGACATGGCCAAAGAAAAGCAAAGGATTAAATGCCTTCCGCTTAGAAAAGAGCCCACACGGGTTTGTTCACTGCTGCTATCATGCAAGCTAACGTGGTAAATTGGGATCCATAGGATAAAAATGGAACAAGCGTATTGTATTCAACTCTGTGCAGTAAACAAAACCACAACTAAAAATATAAAAGCCAGCACTGCATCAAAATATCTCCATTATTTTTACAGCACAAGTAGAATTCAATTAAGTCTTAGGATGGTATTTTCTTGACTTTCAAATTATTGAGGTTGCCCACACTGCTAGCGTAAAATATTAATCTTTAAATAAAAGTTTACTTAAAAGAAACATCATTGCATAAACATAGCACTGCCTACTGGATTCATGTCTACACTGAAGAAGCTAACAAATAACATTTCAAAATTCAGTATCCACAGTAGCTAGTTATGACTCAAATTCACCCAACTATTTGCTTTAACTGGCAAGCACTATTTGATAGCAGCACCTACAGTACTGTTTGAAATAAAGGGGCAGAAGTTGATCTAAATGCTTTCTCCTTCATCTTTACACACCTAAGCTCATTTCCACTGAAAAAAATTGGGTGCAATAACCAGAAAAAGATGCCTGGATTTGTTATCAGGTGGGAAAAAACTGAAACACCCTAAATGACAGCAAAGATAAACTGCTTTTGAAACTTGTTCAGCTTCACATTAGCACAGGAGAGTTATCATTTGCTAGTGAATTATATACAACAGGAACTCCCAAAGGCAAAGCCCTCTACAATTAGTTCCGGTTCATCCATAGCTGACTCAGCCTTCTACTTCGACTACAGCAGAAAAGACATCACATGCTAAACTGCTGCTCATCTGACCTACCAAAAATATGCTGTGAAACACCAGTGAGCTTCCTAAGCGTGTGCCTACCTGCTCCTCACAAGCATAGTTTGTTTCAGTAATAGATCCCATAGTCCCCAGTTTGGTTGTCGTCATTTTGCAAATGCCCATACTGGGTTTGGGATAAGGTCAGCAGGGTGCTCTGACTTGCTAATATAACTCATCAAGCCTCAGCAACTTGGGCATACTATTCGTCATACTAAACGGAGATATAATCAAGAATTCAAATACCCTCCTAAAATTCCTCCACACATTATTACCTTCAGAGTGACTAAAAGACAAGTCATACTTCAACAAAACAAAACAGAAAGCCACAACATAGAACTTGGTTAACAGCATTAATCGGGAAAGTGGAATTAGCTTCCCACAGCTGTTCCAATGCTGGTAACCTGTGCATATGTATCACAAAAATTTTATGTTTTCTAATGTTTTCACATAGGAGCAGATAAAAATGCTGGTCATTTAAATAAAATGTAAATAGAAGCAAAATCCCCATACACCACAAAGCTACTCAAACCTTTCTTCTACACTTAACATCCGTACAGCTTTTGTCATTGCTGCACACATCTGAATAATTTTTGAGCTGCTCCAAACGAAATTTCTTCAGGTGAGACCACAGTAATTTTACAAGACCACAACACGGACTTCCCTGCTATTTGCACTGTTCAAATCACTGCCATGCTGCACAGGTAATGACATACATGGGAAACCATGAAGCTAACAGGAAATGGGGAAGCAGCTGTCAACAGTTTTGCTTAGGGGTGAAGAGGATGGAAGATGCTGAACGCACAAAAGCATTGCTTTCAATAGGCTTCCAGTCTTTGCTCTCTGTGGAACAAGGAAGATCAGGAACCCGACACAACCAGCATAACTATTAAATGTCCCTAAACAGTGCTTATATCTCACTCTAAGAAACTGATAGAACAAATCAGCCCAGGCCATTCGTCTGTTAAAAGAACCACTTCTGTCATTCTGCCACTTAATCTTGCCAGAGAGTTGATGCTGCGTCCCAACAGGATCCATCACTTTCCCAAACTCATACAGGTTGCACCAAATCTCCAAAAGAAAGAAGCCTTTCTTTCAGTGTGAAGAAAAAAGTTAATCCTGTAAAAAAACCCAAACAAAACACACACATACATACCTCAAGTTTACATCTCTTGGGCAGGAACTATAGTGTATTACTTTACTTTCTGATATTCTGACAAATGAAGGAGATGTGAAAGGCTCACCAATTTGAAGGAAGGAGTCAACTACAACCAAACAGCAGCTTTTGCAATTAAAAGGTTAAGTTCTCAACATACCCCAAAGCAAACAGAAGCAACTCCAAACCACATAAATAGCATTTATTTCAAAAAGTTTCTGTTAAGTCATTTGAAATGCGGGAGTTTAGCTGCAACCAGTGCTACAATACACAGGCAAAAGCAGAGGGTTATTTCATAACTGCTTTTAAACAGCCAGGTCTGGAAATCAAGAGGTGAAGTGCTCAGAAATGCATGTAATATAATGCTTCACACAAGTCTAAAGCTTTCACCTTCTGGTATGTAAAACATTATCAAATTACAGCATTTAAACCCTTACCAGTATGTACTGTAACTACTGCAATCCATACACACAGTATGCTGAACTTTCTCTTGTTTCTCTGTTTTCTTATGATTGGTCATAGGAATCTGTGCATCTTCATAATGCTTTTTTGCATGGCCATTCACATATCTAAAATAAATGAAAAACAAAAAAGTCTTATACTTTTAAACAGTTACTTAACCAACATTCATTGAAAATAAGAAGAAAAAAGGCAGCCTAATAAGCATCCAGTATTTATACAGGCATTAAAATAGGCAATTCCCTTGTGTGAAAACATTGGTTAAATTTTCTAACTTTTTACCCCTTTACTCTCCCACGTTGTCCAAATTAATCTCTCCATCTCCTTCATAGCAACCGTAAACTGGCATCCTTGTACCAAACCCCAGGATCTGGGCCCTGAACAGACTGATCCACCTTCACAACTGAGAAAATCATTAGCTCCCTTTTTCCATACCTGTAATGTGGTTAGTTCGTCATACTGCTTTCCCATATACTTTTTTTACAGCTGTACTTTTTTCTCCATGTGGCACTCATCATGTTTGTGATTACTTTAACAGTGTGCTGACCCCCATATGAAAGCACATCCATTTTAAGCTTTCCCATTCTGCAGCGTGATTTAATATTAGACCATTCTATGTTTTATAAATTTCATGAATTTGAAAGGCTCTAGGGCTAGGGGTCACATAACTGAAGAAGAAATCTAAAATCCTACAGCTCTTTTGCTGACACAATGAGCATTTTTCACACTCAGAATCTGAGATCCAGAAAAATCAAGCATCTTTAATTAAAAAAAAGAAGTGTCATTACAAATGCAAGCACCCTAAGTATCAGCTGAAAATAATTAACACATAGAAGTTCATGGCCAGACCTCAGGTGAATTCTCTCCTCCCCCATGTCGTGCTTGTTGAACTCAGTAATGCTAACCAAGAGGAACTCTGCACATGCTCCACATGAAGGTCCTTCTATTCTACACTTGTTCTCACATGCAGGTGTAAACAATTCTGCTAATGCAGCTGTGCTAGTTAAAGCAATGAAGCCACAGGGTTACTGACGTTATTGTGCTGGCAGAATCCTACAGCAATTATGTCATAACATGAACGAGATAGTTGTGCGTGCTTGCAGGAGTTGGTTTTCTGCCTAACAGTGCAGATGACAGGTTTATAAAGCTATGCTGCGACCAGAAATACTCTGCTGCTATAACATGGTCAGTAATTTTCCCAATGACTCTAACCTGGAGGATGTACTTCAAGTGAAAATCTGAAAAGCTCTATTTCTCTTCCTTTAATTTCAAACATCATCTGAACAGAAGAACACGCTGTGTGCTTTCATGATCAAAAGTGCTCCCATTACAAGGTATATTACATTCTTCTCATTCAATTCTTTTCCATTCTAAGGATGGGAGCAGTTTGAAAAGTCAAAACAAACTGCATAAATAATGGACTTGATGTCTATTAACTGCATACAAGAAAGGTCATATGTGGACAGTAATAATATTTTTTTAAAAATTGGTAACAAGTAAAATATTCCAAACTATTTATTTCACACCATCGCATAACATGAAGTAGCTCGCCCTCTCTTAGCTCTCACCAAGTACAAATTTATAAAATAAATGAATAAATAAAAAGAGAACAAAAGGGGGGTTGTGCTGAAAACTCTGATAAAGAGACATTATTAAATTATGTCACTTACTGCTACCCAAATCAAAGAAACAAAACCTGGAGTTTATTGAATCCACTTTAAAAGACAAAGTCACTAAGTTTAATGATGCTTTTCCAGAATAAAAGCACACCAGCACAGGTGCTACCCTAGAGATGAAAACAGGTTCACATCTCAGATATTGTCTAAATGTCAACACTAACTGTATTCTCATTAATATGTGCATCTCAAACATTTATGTAGCAGCAAATTTTCTACAATTATCCTGACATATAAATAACAACATTGATTGTATCACTCCTCTACAAATTCTTTTGGTATACTTCAACTAATACAGACAAAAACCAGGTGTACTCTGAAGGAATTCCGATGGTAGCTAGTCCTTCTATGTTATGGCAATAACTTTGTTCAAAACTACACTACAGTACATTTAATGTATTTTCTAAGCTGGACAGTTGCTGTTTTTCTCAAAATAAGGTGTGCCAACTTTGGATTTGTGCGTTTCCAAAAATTCTTATTGGCTTAATCTTATTACAATAGAAACATCTTTTACAGAATGGAACTTTACAATAATCCACTGAATTAGCAGTTCTCCAGGCACTTTTTGAGCTGAGCAATCACATTCACCGTACAGTTTTCTTTTGGAAGAAAAATGATGTTGAGCATAATCTCTGGACTTTTATAAGGTAGCAAAGTAGTGTGTTCAGTATAAACATACAATGTTAAATGAGATCATGAAAGGTTTATTTCAGGGAATTATAAGGCATTCACGAAAATTTTGAATTAACTGTCTCAGAGTCTAGCAACAAAAGAAAAAGATAAAGGTCTGGTTAAACAATTTGCACACTAAAACTTTGTACCCACCTTCCACAATGGACACTTGAGCACGTCAGACAGACCCACGGACTTTTATTTGACCGGCACACTATAAAAGATTTTTAAAAAAAGAAGAAAAAGAAAAAAAAAAGAAGTGTCAAATGAATTGGCTCTGATATTACAGTTGTGTAACACATCCTGAGCCTGTAACACATCCTGAGTCAGCTCTGCTGACTCCACCTTAGCAGCACAGTTACATAAAATAGCCAGTCATGTTCATTAACCTGTATTAGGGACTAAACTAACAGACTGAAGAGCTATTGACACTAAAGCACATTCGCCGCCTTCTAGCTTGGGTTTTAGTTGCAGGCTACACATTCACCTGTTACTTTCCATGAAAAATTTAATTTTTTTTTGTTTGCATTGCATCTACATGAGGTTTACTTGATTTTGAAATACAACACAGAAATAACAGAACCACAAGTAACAAAAACACTGGTAAAATTTAAAAACTTTTCTTTTGGCTTTTAATAAGGCAGTCCACCAAACACGGGGAAAAAAGCGACAGCACTTCACTTCTGTTTCATAAAACTAGTTATACAAGAAGCCATTTTAAAGAAGCTATTGCAAGAAAGCCTGGCAATCTGGTAAGAAGTATACAGAATAAATTACTGTACAATGCATGATAGTATGCACCATTTATACAATATGTATTCCTATGCTGCAGTGCCGGTCAAGGCTTTAGCCATAAAGATTTTACCCTTTCAGTCACGCACAAGAAGCTGAAAGGTTAAAACGTAACACACTGCTGTGCTTCATAAAACATTCAAGACACCAGATGATGTTATCTAATCTTTTAGCTGTCTTCTAAGTCTAGAAAACTTAAATAAATGTGGATGTTTTTAAGCTAAAGGGCTGAAAGGGAAAAAACAGCAAATACTAGAAAATGATTAAACACTATCCCAGGGTACAGTCATAGAAACGGGATATTCCAACTCCTATCCCAACCCAGTAGCAAAGTCTGCAAATTCAGATCAGAAACAAAATCTCAATAAATAACCCATGTAGGCAGAACACAGTAAAGCAGGCAAGCAGAGCTAAATTTCCATTAGTCAAGTCAAGAAAAAGTATATGCATCTTTATAATAAACAATAGCAATTTTGGAACTACAACTAAATCAATATTAAACCCTCAAATTTTGAGAGGAATTCTAATTTGGATCATGTCATTGAAGGAGGGATGGTACGATATACAACACTTAGATTTGAATGAAGTAAAGCTGTTAACAACTATCCTTTACCACAGAATTTACAGAAATAGCATTACACTTTCAAATACCCAACTAATATGATGAGAAAAGAAAAATGAAATGCTAAGTGCACTTCCGCAAGGGCAGAAAACAACAATAAAAAGACGACTTCAATTATCCCATCAATTGCCTGTCTAAAGAAGGGCAATGAAGCTGGTGCAGGGGTCTAGAGCACAAGCCTTATGAGGAGCAGGGGTTGTTTAGCCTGGAGAAGGGGAGGCTGAGGGGAGATCTTGTCACTCTCTACAACTACCTGAAAGGAGGTTGTAGCGAGGTGGGAGTCCCAGTAACAAGCGATGGGACAAGATGAAATGGCCTCAAGGGGGACGAGGGGAGGTTTAGATCAGATATTAAGAAATTCCCTGTCTGGAGTTACACCTTAGAGAAAGGAACTGGAGAAACTGAAGCATGCACAGAAGCTGCTCCAGGGCAGGATCACCTGAGCAGGCTAACTCAGGATGTCTAGCAAAACTCAAAAATACATTCACCAAGCTACAAACCATGGTACATATCGAACTGTTAAGATCAAAGACTATCAGAGAAAACCAAGCTAACAAAAGTGAAAGAAGTTTCTTTATCGAATTAAATCCTAATTAAAAAGAAAAAGCAAGGAGGGGGTCAATTTTTAATCAGGAGAAAAGCGAGTAGCTTAGCTGTTTAGAAGAGCTGATATACTTTTCCACCATTAGATTTCACCTCTTATTTAAATCAGATGGAAAAATAAACTAGCTAACATTGCTTCTTAAGGAATTGTTTTCTGGATTTGAATTCATTATTACAAATAGTTGTTGTATTTCAATTCACAGGCCCAACCCAAGGAATGTTTAGAACTAAGAATTTTACTATGTTCACTGGAAAAAAAGCACATTCCACAGAAATATTAAGTAACTACTTAGTAAAGACTCCATAATTGTTTTCTTCAACTGCTGCAATTATTACTTTACTTGAGAAACACATTTTCTCACATGTCTCAGTTTTCTGGTTTTGGTTTTCCAAAACCAAATTTTCCTATTTCTAAACTTGATGGGTTCCCACAACTGTGATGGTAATCTTGCAGAAGATAGAGGACAGCCAGGTAGAGCTGTTTTGGCTTACATTTCAAGTTAGAAAAGTGGAAGAAGTTTGTCTAATTTGACCAAAATGTTATCAAGAAAACCAACATTTGGCACTGGCAAACAGAAGAGAAAAGGAAGACCTTAAATAGCCATCATCAGTCAAAAATGGGCTAAATGGACCACTGGTCTAATCTGATACAATTTTATTTTCCTGAATTACACAAACTGAAAGGTAAAAAATTAACCAGAAGGAAACAGAAGCCAGAACCATTCATGCACTTAAACACAGATTAAGTGCTGCATGAACAAACCACTACCCTACACTTTCCTTGCCAGGAACATGAAATGGTCTTCCTAGCATTAAAATTCTAGCAGAAATCTCCCACTTTGAAATAACATTTTTGCTTTCACTATGCTATTATCTGTGGACAGAACTGGTTCTCAACCAGTAGGTCAAATATTACAATGCAAACTATTATTCTTACTTTCCGCCACGTACCAGACAATTACAATGTCACATTCAGTTATGTTAAATACCAGCACTGCTTGCTTGACAAGTGTTAAATTATACTGAAGTAGTGCTCCCTCTGCAGAGTTCACACCAGGTTTAAATGTTCTGCACAAAGCCAGCAAACAAGTCCACCAACTCTGCACAATGCCAAAAAACCAGCGTCCACTAAAATGTTCCATCTTTCATATTGGGGAATAGGAAAAGACAGCTCATTTGTTTGCTTTAACTTTTAGGAAGAACTTTGCTCCAATTGCATCACATTAGAAATGGGTAGTTTATCTTCTGCACAAACATCTCCTCCCACAAAGAACTCAAATAACATGGAAGTGACTCCCACTAAGATTAAACACAGAAACCAGTATTAAATGTGACCTACAATTGCTCTATTCTGAGAAGATTACACAATTGTTTTTTTTTAAAGGTTGCTGAAGATTGCATTCTGTATTTCTCTGAGGTTGGCTCAGTAGATACCTGCATTAAAGCTCAGCTATCTAGGTATTCCTCAATTCAGATCTTGAAGCAGTTACTGTCTGTTACTTACTATTAATAAATTAGATTAGGCTGAAAGCTTCACGCATTAGTCAGGACTCTAACATGACATGCACCATGGAACGCACAGCGGAAGCCCAGTCACTGCCCTGACCTGCTTATAATCTAAATTAAAAGTAGACAGTTTGGCTTCATCTGTAAAGAAAGTGCATGTTATTCCTTTCAGATGTGGTACTGACATGAAGGCACTAGGCTTAAAAGTAGATCAGAAACAAGAGACACATACATAGCAAATCCTTTCTCAATTCAAAGCACATTACACAGCCCTGGAACTAGGCCCTTAAAACAGACGTGAGCGTTCAGGACTTCCAGGTCAGGCAGTTACACAGAATCATGAGGAAAGACTCTCAAACCCATTTGTATAGGTACGTATGTCTTCCCTCAAAAATCAGTATTCCAATTGGGATTTGGGGTTTTGGTGTTTTTTAGTGCTATTTAAAAGAGGAGGAGGGGTGCACTACATAGCACCCCTACTTTGGAATAAAGTTATATTCAACAAACATCTTAACCACATTTAAAAAACCTTAATTACGTGTGTTTGTTACACCTTGTTTAGTGGTATACAGGCTAAGGAACACTGGCTGCTTTCTCAGCTTGAACTAAAGTGGCTACTGCAATGGTTACCAACTGACTCATTTTGCTATATTTTTAGAATAGCTTCAAGTGGCTAGGCAAAGATGATACTAACGTGAAAAGAAGAGGGAAAGCAAATCCGCAGTGCCACAATGTTGTCTGAAGCAGTACGTCATTTGCCATTTTACATCAATATCAGCTTATTCAGAAGCTTAGAAACGTAATTTTTCATCATGTAATAGGAAGGGGAAACACAATCTTTTACAGAACAATTTCTCTAAGTGAAACCTGAATACTCATCTGTTTTACAGCCTACAAAGCCCTCTGTAAATGAAGAGGAGTATCAATCCATCCCCAAGAGAGCAAACAATCAAACATCCCTACATACAGACTCATACATAACTATGGCAACATTCAGAGACATCCCTCCCCCTCCAGCTTCTACCTTCTGTAAATCATCCTGATAAATAACGTTCATCAAGTTATGCCAAGTAGAATGAGTAAGATATGGCTAATCAGTTTGACACTCTCATCACAGGGCCCCCACCCCATCTTACCCTCACGATCACTCAAATGTGTACTTCTGAATCTTGACTTTTTTCTTCTTACTGAAAACCAACTTCAAGTGCAGTCTTGTGAAACATGAACACTCCTGGCAAACGCTGTATTCCTTACAGAACAAAACTGCAGATTTCCACTGTAGGAAAGTTACAACTATGTAAAAGTATACAAACAACCCCTGAAATGAATAGTTTTGTTTAAATAGCACACTGTATAATTTAGAAACTGGCAAAAGAAAAAAGCAGCAGGAAGAGGAGGAGACAAACAGGAAGCAGTCTCTGTAAGGCAGCCAAGTTAAGAAACCTGCAAGATACAGTGTCCACCAGAGATGTGGCAGTAGCGCAGCCATGTTGTGATCAATGCAAACCTGCCTCTTCACCAGTCACAGGAGCACAAATGACCTGAGGCCATAGCTACTACAGAACTGTGCTTACATCCAAGTTTTAAAATAGTCCTTTGTTACATCACTAAAGAAAAGGCCACAAAGTAGCAGCACAATAAGAGCAATACTTTGATCCTTCTGTTAAGAGCACATTTAATGGAAACAAGATTAGGGCCATTAAACTATTTCCAATAGTCTCCACAGCCTTTAAAAAACGGCCTGAACTTTGTTCTCAAAAGGAGCTGTATCAACACTACTATCTTACATGTATAACGGTATGGTTAAGCTACAATAACATAATGACCTGCACAGAAACATCTTTGGACTAAGTGACCTTTTTTCAGTTCAGTTTATGTTGACACGGTAGGTCAGCTATATCGATATAAGCTAAACTGAAAAAGGCCACTGTTACTCCACTCAGCATTTGCGCAAGGAACAATATTTACATAGTTGTGGCTGCGCTGGTATACTGATACTGTGCTGAGCAAGTTGTCTCACAAACATAAGCGCTATGGTGACAGACACATATATATGCTACATATGTATAGCATGCTGTATGTGTAGCACGTATACATATGCTATATGTATGCATGTGTGTATACACACACGTGCATCCCTAAGAAAAAACAAAACAAGAATAGTGTTAAAGTATTCTAGAGAAAGACTTACTTTTCCTTTCCCATACTTTTAAACTCATTTTGCCTAACAATACCTCAGTGCCCTGTTTAATTAAGATTTCGTAGCAGGACAACGTTACTCTACATTTTGCTCCTAGGAGAACCTGACAAACAGCAAAAAGAGAGCTGGGCAGTCTCCATTAACAACATGTGAATAAAAAAGCAGCAACAATCTGCATACCAAAATGCGAAACCGCTGCTTTGTGAAACATGATCCTTCTGTCTGTGACACATCAGGCCTAAGGAATCAGACTAAAAGCTGCCTCCTCCAAAGATCTGGAAGTAAAGGTGAGAGAAACTTGCAAGCAAAAAATTCTGGGAAACAATCACAAGTGGTGGGAATACAAAACTTTGCGCAAACATTTAACCAAAATTACACAAACCCCTTTAGTAATAACATCTCAAATGCACAGTTTTCCAGTCACAGGATTTAGAGCATTTCTCAGAGAGCCCACTTCCATTTTACAGACTGAAAAATGGAGAATGAGAGAGTGAATAATTTACCAAAAGAATTTTAAGTTCATCAGTATAGATAAGAACTGAGCCTACTAGCCCTAAAGCCTTAGTCCTGTATGTCATTGTACTTGCAGGCAAGGGTAAGACATCCCAAAGCTCAGCACTCTGCACAAAACTTTTAAGGTGACTTGCCAAAGCAGTTCTGAATTAAGCACCTAAAACATCCCATACGCAATACACAAGAAGCATCAGGCATCTGAGAGTCATCTATGAAAGCCAGTATTCTAAGTAGGGAATTGCTCAAGTTATTAGCCTATGAAAAACATCAAGGAGACAAACGTGTTGGATGTTGTCCCTCCTCTGGGCTTACATGCTGGGGTTGCAAAAACGCTCTGCCCACCACTGGAATTTACAGCTCTGGAACTCCCTCTGGATGCAGGCACAAGTCTTTTCAAACAGTGAATAAAATCAGCTGAGGAGTTTTCTCCACACATTACCCATTTATTCAAGATGTGAATGCCTCAGGTTTAACGTACACACCTCCTACCCTTGCAAGACCTTCCTTCCACACTACTCCTAAGTGCTGAGGGAGGACTGACAATTCCTTCTGTTAAAGATGGCAATTCCCATGAATAAGTAGTTATTCAGAAGAACAGTGAGACAAAGCAAGAGAGAGTGTGGCACTTACACCAAGCCTAGCATTTACAGCTTCTACCTAGGCCGCAGTCTCCGCAGCAATGAATATCCATGCATTCTATATTCAAAATCCACCAGATGAAACATTCTGTCATTAGAATTGAGACTGGCACCAAGGATTTTTCACTTACAACGAACTGTCCAAATCACAACATTACAGAACCATGTGCGCTCTTTCCTTCTGGCCCATAAACTTGGTTATAAACCAGCATACACAATAAAACAGCTTCTCAGGGCAAAAATTAGAAGTCTTACTCATCACAGAACATCAGTCAAGACTGCAGGACATCTGGATATGTGCAGAATTGGACACTCTGGCACTGAAAAGACACTTTATTATCAGAATCAAAGAAGCCTAAAAAAATACAGGTGTCCTCCAAGGTAAGTCAGCATTTTTACAGGCAGCATGTAAAAATTCATAACAGGCAATATAAGTTACTAAGTACACATGTATTAACACAACTGATCATGTTCCCAGTTTTTGACTTTGCATTCTTTTGTGTATTTAAAAAGGCAGTTGCTACAGGCATACATGCAAACTGTATTATCTGACCCTATTGTCTGTTTACATTCAGGAGGAATCAAAAATACTGAAATTAGTATCTCAACTAAACATGTTGGTAAAATCATAAGACAGGGCAGGCATTAACATACACAGAAGCGCACTAAGTCCAAGGAGAATGCTAACATTATTTTATAATCTAGGACTAGGTTCCACAACTTAAATACTGAGTTAAATGTCTATGGTTGTTGATTGTTTTGGTTTTTTTTGTTTGGGGTTGGGTTGGGGCAGGGGGAGGGGGCAGGGAGTGGTGTGTTTAAACTGTATACACATCTGGTAAAAGTATCTGCTCTACATTTTAGGAACTTAAGGCTAGTCAATTCCAGATGAGTAACTGTAATGAAAACCAGGTGACTGAAAAAGGAAGTAAATGTTACAAGAGTATTTTTTAAACCTTTGAGTAGGCTAAGGCCCCCATTCTAGACAGAGAATGCAGGAAAAAGGAACGTTACAGGCTTTGAAAACTAGAGACATGTTCTACACCTTACTTACAAGCCAGCTGTTTTACTGTTTAGGTTTTAAAAGAGTATTCCCATTTGTTTTCAAACTTCATTTCACATAAAGCTGCTCTTTCCATCCTACCCTCAGCCCCATTGCAAGAAGTTCATAAATGGACTGAACTTGTTCTAAACTGTTTGATATTAGAAAGATAAATATTCTATTTAACAATATTTTACAGAAGTTTCATTTGTTAGACATCTTTATTGCCTATTTTGGAAAAACAGCATTCTAGTCAAAATGAAACCAGACAGAAAGGGAAATCGTTTTTAATTATACTGTTTTAAATGTTTTGTTTTAAAATCAGCTAACACCCACATACTAGAGGAAAAGATAAGAAAAGATGAAATTTAAACTACATTTAAATCAAAGCAAGAGAATTTACAAGGAAGCAAGTTTCCTGGTAAGCATTACTAACAATCCAAAAATGTTAACCATTCCTTCAGTGTTTCATACGCTCATAACAAAGAGAGGCACAATGAATAGAAGCCTCGACAGTATCAAGTCTTAGCCTGACTCAAATCACATTCAAATATAAGAGAATTCAAATAGACTCTGAAGAACATTTAAAGAAAGAAAGAAACAAACAAACTACCCTCACTTTACAGCTATGGAAAAAAAACCCAGTTATTTCTTCTGCTCTTATCTTTCAGCCAAAACCAGAAAGATTAATTTTTTAGTGAGAAAACACATAATAAGTCATTTTGTGATAGTGAGTGAACTTATGAAACTGACTAATATTTGTGCTCATGCATAACGGTACATATGGTTTCCTCCTCTTTGTCACTAAATAAAAGCATTGCTCAGTCTCATATAAAAAAATTACACAGATGGTTACAGTGAACCACTCTATTACAATGGAAAACCATATATAATTCAGACAACAACAACAACTGAGTAAGAATATAAAACATGGGTAGGTGAACAATTTTTCATAGAATAGGTCACTGAAGTCCCCAACACATTCCTAACTCTGAAGAATGTTTGTCAGAGAACAATGCGATTAGCTTCATCTGCATGTAATTCACCTCCCCGGTTAGGCTCAACCACATTGGCTTACAGTTCGGTATTTTGATTATGCAATCAGAATTCCACACTGAAAAACTTGGAAGTTAAAAATGCATGCTTTTTTATCTGCCTATATTCTTAATCGAGTAGTGGAAAAGGAGACAGATGGGTAAGGAAAACTTCTTTCAACCAGTGTAACAGCGTAAGTTCCTGAGGAAGTGGTTAAACGGACACATAGAGCATGCTGTGCTGCTTCTTTTGTTATGGTAAAAAAATAGGGTCACTTAGCACTACCAATCACACACACAGATGCTTAGCGCTCAGGCTACAGCAGTGCCAATATTTTTTTGTAATTTAGTCTTTCTACATGTCGAGTCAAACTTTAGGTCAAGAAATGTCAGCGGTTGATTTTCCTGCATGTACCACACAAATCACATCCTACCTGAAAGCAACAGTGAGAAAACATGCATTATTAAAAAAAAAAAAAAAAAAAAAAAAAGAAAGAAAGAAAGAAAAAAAAGTAGTAACACATCAATAGCAGGCTTATTTTACTGAACAATCATGGCCAAAGGCTTTTTTTAAAAATTAATGCCTCTATTTCTCCTTTACATTCTAATGACAATTTCTAGTGGTTTGGCTACTTTGATAACTAATCAGTATCCAAATTTAAATACATACATACACACACAAATACACTTTTATATTTTAAAATTAAATGCTTTCTAGCCCTCACCGATATTGTTCCTCATTATAGTAGTAGCATGCCAAGGGGGGAAAAAAAAAAAAAAAGTTATTCAATCTTTATGTTACAGTGAGGCACACAAATATTCATTTTCAGACAGCAGCCAGAAAAAGCACATCAAAGCCAAAAGTGCAATGTAATTTTTACACCCTTAAGGAAAGGAATCTTCTTGAGTCAGTTAGCAATCAATCTCAGGTCAAAACATTCAAGCTGGAAATAGGAGGGAAAAGAGGGGAAAGACAGCAAGAAGGCTTCTTGCTTTCTTTATATAACCTAGTAATTAATTTACTTATTTGTAGTCCCCACTATTTCATTCCTACTTTCCCAATACTAGCAAAAGACACATTACTAACCATCCCTGTGAACAAAAAAGAAAGAAATCAAATGCTCTGTGGACAAAAGCATTACCAAACGAAAAACTTATGAACTGAAGGTTAAAAAAAAAGTTTTAGAAAGGGTCATGGCTATCTTGAGAAAATGCATCTGTATTTTGACGTGGACAAGCAGATGCTCACATTTACACAGAATCCTAAATGACATACCTATGAATTACCTTGAAAAATCAGTATCTGCCTGTTTGGTATTGATAAGGACCTCCAACCCCCACTCCCAAGTCTGATAGTACCATGTCGCTTTAAACTTCAAAAGCTGTCTGCTTGCAATATTGGGGGGGGGGGGGGGCTAACTTCCAGATGAATCACCTTATTTTGCCAGGTTGCCTGTGGGTATTGTGGTTAGCTTCAAATGGGTAATAAAATCTGTCAAAGAAATCTCATAACTACATTTACAAGATCCAAAATTACACAAGATATTCCAAAGGTGGGAGGGGGAAACTCCAACCACTAGAGGATTGCTTTGACATACCAGTTAAGACTACTGAAGGATAAATGTATTCATTGTGTCATGTAGAGTTTACAACACCCTCTTATAATCAAGGAAAGGAATCATTAAGGACACAAAATCTTACACTGCTCCCATAACAAGGACACCATAAAGCAATGAATATTTTATCAGGTATTATTCCAATTCACTCTAAAATAGAAACTGTTTCCTCCAATAATCTCAAAATAAAAATCAGAAAAGCCTTAACTAGCTTTCAGATCTAAACTTCTGATTAAGTTGCACTTTCTAACCTCCATGAATTATTTTTATTAATAATTCATTAACCACTTTTCCCCTAGGTAATGAATGTTTGTTAGAACAGAAAGCAAAGCATGAACAGGTTACTAAATGAAGTGAGTGGCACTGATCAAATGAGAAATGGCTCAAAGCTTAATTTCATTCCAAACATTGTGTCTGAAACTTTCACTGTATGAACCTCAGACACAGATGTGACAAAAAAAATTAACTAATCTAACTCTGTCAACCTTAGCACCTTGCAATGATCAGAAAAACAGAGTAAGAATAATACGTTGATCTCGTTTAACACCTGCACATCTCGAAGGGCTTGGGAAAGGCAGGTGAAAATTATTATCCTGCTTACATTTAAACCAGCTGTAATGAGATTTGCACTATCTGTGGATAAATCAAGAGTCTGCCATGCACACGAGTCTCTCTCCTATACACTTGTGTGTGCCTTATATATCCCACTTTCACAATGCCTCAGACTATCCTGTCTCCTTATTATATGGTACACTTCAGAGTCATTTCAAAACATTGATTTTTAGTTAGATCATGAAATGCTTCGGAACAGTCAGTAGTAAAATTTGTCCTTCAAAATTTATCTTTAAAATCATCATGAAGATTACATCTAGTTTCTAAACAAAGGCAATGTATTAAATGTCTGACTACTACTTTCCTCTGAAGCAGTCTCTTTCCTCAGCTAACACTCAAGTCTTGTGATGGATTGTGATTTTGTTGAGTACAGAGTATAAACAAATTTTTCAAAAGAAAATCTAGAAAATATTTATCACCATCAATTTAAGTTTATTGACTTTTAAAAGATACCATGCATTTGAAGACAAAGACTCCCCTCTTTTGTAATAAAAAGGAAAATTAGGTCTAGCTTATCAGACTGAAACTGAGACCCTTACCCCACCTCAATAAACCTGCATCTTCTAACAGAATCAGTTCCAAAGCACTATGCTCTATCACACAGGCAAAGGTAACTACTGCCCCCAGGTTAGCTCATACATCAGTAACCTATTCAAATGGAAACAAACAAACAAAAAAAACCTCAAAAAACAGTTTTAAGAAAAACAAGACTGAGTCTAAAAAAAACCCAAATCTAACAAGCTTTACTTAAAAAGACAGCCAGGGAATGAATTTAAGGAGATATAACAACCTATAAAGTCTATAGAGTTACTAACAAACATTCCTGCATTGCAGTGACCCAGAAAAACAGATGAGAGACTACAGAACTTTGAAATTAAATTTAAGTGAGTGAATAAAAAAAGGTAATTTTTTTTTACATACTTATTTTGTGGTTTAAATTTCAGAATAAATCTGGTGATTTCCAGGCCAAATTCATTTTCCAGATGTAGGGTGACAAATAATCCTCACACATACAGACCATTAGGTCCTCACAGCGTCCATGAGCTTACCCTGAGTCTAGGTGCAGCTGACTGAACAGAATTTTTCACAGGAAGAAGGTCCTACCTACCCCTCTCCAGTTTCACCGAGTTCTCTCTCTTTCTCCTGTATTCTAGTAAGAATTGAAGGAAAGAGGAAATGAGGATCTCTAGTAATAAAAACAAAAAAGCAAAAGGAGAGACAAATACTCACGGAGATGGAAAAGAAACACTAACAAGGAGCTGAGATGAAAAGGAAAGCCAAGACGGTTAAAATCTGTGTACCTGAGTTTTTACAGGACATTTGTTTTGGCACTGACTGCAACAGTCCAATGCCAAAAACCACAATGTGGCAGAATGCTGTTACCCACCCCAATGAAAAAGAGAACAGTGTAACTGATTTAACTGAGAAAACAAAAGCAAAAACTGATGGGCGGGGGGCCTGGGGGTGGTGGTGTTAACAAAAAACCATCAAAAGCAGCCTGACCCAGTAAAGTCATGTTCTTGAAAGTTCTCCTACTCAGCCCAAAACATTTGCTCTCACATATAAATAAAGCATTCAGTGATATTTGTGGTTATTCTGAACTAACTGAAGTTACTAAGTAATTAAGCAAATTACTTCAAACATAGAAAAAATGCCATTAATTCAGCATGTGGATTTCCACCATATTCATTGTTCACCAGGCCTCAAACAGCTTCCTCGTGCTAGCTCTCCTCTGTACTTCTTATGGTCCCAGCATCATTTGCAAATGCCACAATGTATGTTTCTGACCAACTGTGAAATTACAGCTCTTATTCAACAGAAGTTAGAATGCAAGAAACAGATGTCAGGCAAATATATTTAGCTTTTGCAGGAAATACCAGTCTACAGCCAGAATTGCTCTTCAATATCTAACAAAGCTATGTTATTTAAGAAAAAAACAAATTCAACTGACAGTGATCTGAAAAGCAACAGTTTTAAGCATAATTCAGAAGTACAATTCTCCTTTTAAAAAAAAAAAATAAAAAAATCACCAAATCTCCATTTCGGCAGACACAATCCTATCTGTCTGCAGTTGTTCTTCTACAGAAAGAACTTCAAATTCTATATTGACCAATCAATGAGTCTAGTAAGAACTAATGAATCCTCAACCACACAAAAGAAAAAGTTGGAAAAACTCTTCAGACTTGCACAGGTGTGCTTAGAAGACTGCAGTCTCGCTTAGGCAAGGCATGGCTCCCTGTGGTTTCATGAGTCTATGAAAAGTTGTTGAGAAATACCACATCTGAGCTGTTCCACAGTACTTTTCATAATTACATGATTTGCACAACAGTGCTGAAGGTGTGGCACATCATACAAATTCGTATGAATCAGTCTGTGACACTTTGCAGTCTTGCCAACGCCTCCAGCTACTCTGCTTCCAACTTCAGCAGAAGTTTCAGAAATTAAAGTGCATGGAATGACTGCACTCTAATTGGAATTAGCAGACATCTGCATGCAGTATTTCACGTGACAGCACTGATTAAAAGCCATTTTCAGTTTCTATACAATTTCTACTTTATATATTCATCTCCTCTCAAATGCCCAATTACAACAACGAACTGCCTCTGGATCTGCAAAAAAAGCATTCTGTGCTCTCTTTTGATAGTCTTAAAGCTCCTCAGAGCAAATACGTGCTGCTTTCTGCATCATTTAC